AACACAAAAAAGATCATTACAATTCAAACGCAACTTATGCAGTTGCAAAAAGAAAGCCTTAAACATTTAGGCTTCCCCCACTATTCGGACCCTGGCCTTCTACGATACCGGTGCAGCGTTGTAACCAATAGAGTTAGCAAACCAACTGGGATCTGGAAGAGTATTGCCAGCGTATAACGCCGGCGGAATTGTTATGTCTGGGGTACTTTCTTGGGCTCCGCCGCCAAAAACTGCGCAACACGCCTCGGCTAATTTTGCTAGGAGTTCAGCACAGGCTATTGTACCGTTTATTTTCTTAGCCGAAGTCTGTTTTTAGTGAGGTTATCTTAACATCACACAGAACTAGCCTAGTCCCTAGCTGTGACGTCACCGAGAGAGACTCGCCGAGAACGCTAAAATTAGGGGTATTTTGGCAATATCTGCTTGGCGTTTTCTCGTTCGCTCTTTCCCACTCTTCGCGGGGGCAACGGGGCAACAGAGAACGCCTAAGGATTAGGCTGACAGAACTTAAAGTTGAGAGAGGAGAGGTATTCATTTATAGAACTGAACTAGCTAAGATAAATTAATTTTCTTATACAGTATGTCCGGTTAATGATGTCTTCTTGCGGAAAAAAGATCTTAGTTGAATATAAAGCAGTGTTTTGCGGATTACTTTCGTCACTTAAGGCAGGCGCCCTTGACAGAAACCCTCTCTTTACTGAGCCATAATTTATTCAAAGCAATGAAAAATACTCTAAAGTTTACTGGGGAAAGCTTCCATGAAGGGAACACCCTCGTGACCAGAACAGGCTAAGTGTGTCTTGATACTAATACAAACATGACTCTATCGATTTTTTTTTCGGGTGCAAAGTTTTTGTCCCCTTAATGAGGTTTTGCACTAAATAGGTTAGAGGTACTGGATTATTTACTCGATTAAGCAACGCGGCGCTTGTTAAAATTTTCTTCTTCTCTGTGCGGTCCTTATTGAAGGTGGCACTCACTTAAATCATTCGCGAATAATCATTAATAGCAAGTAATCGGCTCCTGTTAATAGTCATGTCCGTCAAGCTAACAAAAGTCTTATTCACAAAGGTTAGAACTCAGATCCATCAGCCGCCGACCATATTCAATTTATACTTTTCATTACTTGCCTTCATTTCGAAGGTTCTTCTCATGGGCAGTCACTCAGAAGTTCAAGCCTGGACCAAACCAGATCGCTGATCTTGTTGCTATAAACATACAGCGAGGGAGGGATCATGGCCTCCCCGCCTTTGGCGACTTCAATGCACACTTCGACGTCAACAATGTTAATATCCCAGGTGACTTAAAGAACATGCTGAAAGAGTTATACGGCTCGGATTTGAGCAAAGTTGATTTATATGTTGGCGGACTACTTTTAGAAAATCCCACCTATGGCTCACATGTGGGGCCTACCTTCGCTCACATTTTAGCTGAAGGATTCAGGTAAGCTTAGTTATTGATTAATGAAACAGCTCATCTTATAGTACGCCGAGCGATATGCGTCAGGAATAAAACCGTCGCGTATGCGAAAAGAAGTGGGGGTACAAAAAGGAAGGCCTCTGGCGCCCGATCTCTCGCGGCTTTGCCGCGGCCGCTCGCCGTTTCAAATTTCCTTTTCGTTAATATTTTTTGCCATCTTTAGGAGGCTTTGAATAGTCTTTTGCATAATGGAAAGCAGTATACCAGCTCACCACAGAGTTACCATCAGTTTTCTTTTTATCTATCTAGCCACTTTGATATGTTACACTAAGAAAAAGAAATATAGAGATTTACGAGGAAAACTGTGCTTGAAACCCCAATGAAACCACGAAGCTTTTGCAACACCGTTGTGGGCTTTCTGGCTCTGCTAAATTGCCAAAAAAACCACCAAATATTAATTAAACGGCGGCGGCAGAGTAATAATACGTAATAATAAGATTATAAAGAAAAACGGTAAGAAAAAAGACAAAAGCAAATAAAAGGGCAAAAAGGGAGGGGTTCCAGGGAAATGAGCAAGTTAAGCAAGGAGCTGTTGCTTCAGTTTGTTCTTAAAAGCTGATAAACTAACTGAGCTTTGAATGTCTGAGCTTAAAGAAAGTAAAGGCGAGAATGCTTTTTAAAGCGAGTCTAAAACCAAGAGAGAAACATTGGCTACTAGCAGGCAGCATTATGTTTAGACAAATAGGAATACCTCCAAACATGGACCTCAGTTTTCGGTTAGAACTTCCGAAATCATATCTATCTAGCTTGCATGAATTTTTGGTTCGGAATTTTTTTTTTCCGGACGTTTTGGCTCAATGGTATAGACTAAGCATATGACATTTTCACTGATTTCAGGAATTTAAGAAAAGGTGACCGCTTCTGGTACGAAACAAATCAAAACGGAGTTGGATTTTCCCTTGCACAGCTGACGGAAATAAGAAAAGTTAGCTTAGCTAGGATCGTTTGTGACAACAGTGGTATATCGTATGTTCAGCCCAAGGTAATGAAAAAGAGAAACTGGCGGAGAAACAGAAAAGTTAGGTGTGGCAGTCTTCCAGAAATGGACCTAACCAAATGGATTGATCGTTCGGTAAGATAGTTGATATCAAGTCAGACTTATCCAACAGTTGTCTAGAGTAGGGTAGAGAGATGCTCGCGATGGGTGATGGGAAGGAGGAAGGCCCTTTTCCTTTTTTTTTTCATTGTCCCCTTCGTTAATGGCCCGTTTCATTATGGAATAATCGAAATTTCCACCTGTTCCTTTGTTGAATTGTTTATTTTTACCCAGATCTCCGCAATTCAATACCGCGTTCTTTGCGCTTCGATGATATCTCTTAATGAGAAACCTTACATAACCAGCCATCTTCCGGACAGTTCAGGGTTCCTTTCCCCTATACTATGTATCGAATATTCGTTATGTAAAAGGATAAGATAAGCATTAATGATTTTTACAAACAATCATTGACAAAAACACAATATACCTAACTGACCTCAAACTTGTTTTTGACTTTGCAGATCAATAAAATCACAAATTCCGAGAGCGGTCTTTCTGATGACATTATGCGAAGCGACCTTTGAGAGGTTTGTAAACCTTGAATATGAGTTACTTTTTTGCAGTCTAAGTGCAGATCAATCAATCAATTAATCGATAAAAATAAAGGCTGTTTGTTTTAGCATAATGAATAATCCGCTATCATCCACCTTTCACCTATGCTCGTCCCGTTTAAAAAGAAAATTTCCAAATAGGTTTATGTGTCATCCCTTTACTAGGCTTTTCACAAACACGCGAACTCTAAAATTCAATAGCCGCCTTCACAATTGCGTTTTTCACTACCGTTAATAATAATTATGATCACAAGCAAGGAATCTTGAATTTAACACAGAAACATACAAGATAGATCGCAATCCACTAAATCACGAATCACAAACCATGACTTTTTGAATCTATTTAAGTAAAGTTCTGTTTCCTAAGCGGTCAGCTAAGATAATTGAGGGTGGTGAAGAACGTCAGTTGGCTTTTGAACTTCAGAATTTGCGTTTTTTTGAAAAGCGTAGTAAAAGTAACTACATGGGGGAAGCCTATTTTTAGATTGAGATTGCTATGTTTCAAGTCGCCTTCCTAGTTATTAAAACTGATGCAGTAGAGTGTTTTTTTTGTAACACAGCAAAATCTTTTTTATTATCAGAATTGCTCAGATGTTACCCACTTCACGACAACCGAGGCCATTTCATTTAGTGGAACATTTTCAACAAAGAGGAAGGAAAGAAGAACCGTCAGGAGATAAAAAAAAACAAAAAAACAAAAACAAAAAGAGAGTTTCTACTTTAATCAGTATATCTTAGATTCTTGTAGGATGATTTTAAGTCTCCTATACTTATTTTTGCGTTTTCCCGTTATTCAGCAGAAAACCAATCGTATTATGTTTCAAAGTGTATAAAACCAAGTTTAGTTCACAGGTCGCAGTATACTTTATAAACCTCGCCGGATAATTGACCAAACTCACGTTTCTTTGATTCATATATCACTTATTTATTTTAGATGCAATAAAGTTTGCAGTTGTGTCATATTGCCTTTGTAAATCTTTCTCGCCCTCTGCTGGCTTTAACTATGCACTCAGTATATAAGCAAAACATTTCATCTGAATAAAAACGTGTGAAGTCTGATATGCTCTAAATATTTAAATCAGCTGGGCTTTATTACCCGCGGGTTTGTTTGACAAAAATGATATGAGCTGACTGGATTCACAAGTATCCACGCGACGCTTATATTACATGCCTTAGTATACGTACGTTGAGCCAACCTGCAACTTACCAAACATCATTAACAGCAACATAATCACCTCTGATAAAGGTGAATATACCAATGAGACAGTAGGCTTGCCTAAATCTATATATTACGTCATCAACTGATTATGCAGTAAGAAGCTAGTGTTACAGTACACATCGGGCGTACACACCTTTCGAACCTCTTCACTTGCAAATAATAATAGCTGGTCCTGCGTTTTTTTTAAGGCTTTATTTTTGTTTGTCACTTGTCTGTCTTTAGAGTGCTCTTTTGGTTTCGTGGCCGATAACGATGTGAAAATGACAGTCAATATAAGGAATATATGCAGTCTCCGTTCCCAGTGCCTTTCCCTCAACAAATGGGCTGCAAACTCGTGCCTCTGACCATAGTCACCATGCCAATGTCTGTAAAATTTGCGACTTTCTTTGGACGTATCACCTTTAACTTAGTAACTTACCTCATTTTAAGAGCCTCTTTCCAGCATTCGCTCATTGCTCTTTATCAAAAGATAAAAAAAAATTGAAAACCATGGAAGGAAGGCCGGAAGGAAATAAGTGAATAATGGAGAGGGGCCTGGAACTGATTGTATGTGAAGGTGCTAGTTTCCAGTTTGCACGTGGTCAATATGGCGGATGAAGGAGTTCAATTTTGTACACAGGATCACGCAGGAAAGTAATTTGTCAGATTAAGCGTTTTGTCCATTTTGACAACCTAAATTGTTGGTATAGACATTACAGTTATCTCTCTCATAAACATGGCTAAGACAAGGAAAAGATCAGAGAAGGAGAAATCCTCCAAGAAGTCAAACAGCAGCATGAATCCAGGTATAAAAGCTCCACGTTTAAGTTGCTATCCTCGCTTCAGTGAAGTAAAATTTATAGTTTCAGTAATTTTAAGGCAGTGAATGTCTCACTCTTGCAAATAGCCAAGCGAGATAAGAAAGCAGAGACGTAATGGGGGCCTAACTACTAGGTTACGCTTTATAAACATGACAGTCGCAGTTTTAAACCGAGAAATCTTCGGCGATCATTTTTAACTTTTAAGCTTAATTTCCTAATTGTCATGAAAATTTGTAGACCGTCCAAAACCAGCAGGAGGATCGAACATGCGAGACAAGGCAACAATAAACAGACTGAAGATGTACAAATCAGGGGGAAAGGCAATAAGGTGTGATAATTAAGGTGTCGATTGTGCATTGGTTTAGTATTCTTAGTTTGCAACCTCGTGACAAGAGGCCTTGTTGGTTGTCAAGATCTTACATGAAAACTGAGTTTAGTTCCNAGTGGAAAAACTGAAGTGCTTAACCTTGTTCAGAGTTAGTCATGATCACTGTATTTCATAATATGCCATGTAGAACTATGATTTCGGAAATGCAAATTAAACAGTGGACACAACCAACAAGCTCACATGTACCACCTCAAATTTACTTTCTGTATTTATTCAAATAAGCGCCCAACCTCGAATAAGCGCCCAGCTCGAATAAGTGCCCATCCTAAAGGCAAAAAAGTTAATAAGCGCCCAGCCTCGAATAAGCGCCCACCCCCTCCTCCTCCCAATCAAACTCAAATAAGTGCTCACCCCCACCCCACCCACTTGAGTGAATAAATTCTGATAAGAGACTTTCCCGAGGACGGAGTTTTCTTCAGAGTATTTTACAGAAACCTTGCTTTGTTACTTCTTCGCATTTTGTTATTAGCATTTATTGTTTTGTTGCAAAATAAACATACTTCACTGCTGAAAATGGTGAAAATTTAATAAGCGCCCACCTCGAATAAGCTCCCAGGCGGTTAATCAAATAAATACGGTATAATTCTTTGTTTCATTTTATAATACAGTCATGAACAGAGTTCTTAAAAACTCCTCAAGACAGCATAATAGTTTACTAATACTGATCCTTTTCACTAAATTTAATGTATATTCAAACACATGAAAATGATGGCTTGGAGACAATACCAATCACTCTTATATTAAACAACATGGCGATCTAACTACTAAGAATAAGATAATACTATTACAGTCATAAGATGCTTAAAACTCAACCAGTTGGTTTTGGTCAATATATAGTTTCTGATATACAATTTCTTTCCTGTTTAAATATATGTAATAATCATCTTATTTAATTTTTTAATATTTTCTTTTTTAGAAATAAGCAGGGGAAAATAGTGAAACCAGCACCATTCCAGAACTCAGCCGTCTCAGGAGAGGTTGCAAGGGTTGCTCCAAATAGAAAGTGGTTTGGTAAGTTCATCACCCTTAAATTATCCATACAATGTAAACAACCCTTAACTGCCTAGAGCTGTCTGTGTGAATTGTACCAATTCTGAAGTCATTATTTGATTAATGGTATTTAAGTGCAAGAACTGTAAAAGAGCTCAATGATGAATAAGGCCAAGGAGGGGGGTATTCTGGATTTCGATGATGGGGATGATCAATGGATTTTTTTGGGAAGGAAAATTTGGCAAGTATCTTTTTGGGTGGCTGGATTTAAGTAGGATTTTTTTTTTGGTATTCAAAACAATCTGAATATTCATGGTATTGCTGCTTATCCTGGATGCATACTTCTGCAAATAAAGTATCACCAAAATTTTGTTGATATATTGTTTAACTCTTCCTGGAAATTTTTAAGGTTTGACATTTTAAAGTTTGGAAATTTGGGGGTTAATTTTTGGTCCAGGGATTTATTTGGTTTTTGTTGGAAGCCTTACGGATTATTTTGGGTTTTGATTTTATCCCCGATTCGATCATTTATCACTTGAAATCTGGGGTACCCTCCCTGGTGTACTTGGTGGTAAGTGACAGGGCTGTCAACCCCCCCACATCTTCAAATATTGAGAATTGATAGGGAAGGGATGATAGATGACCTCATATCGCATGTTATATGACATCATTTGTGCAAAAAATACTCGTTGACCTGATCGTCACAAATTTGTGATGTTTCACATTATTGCCTATCTCTTGGTACATTGCAATGGCATAATATGCCATACCAAAGTTTATGAGGAAACATTCGATGTTAACAGTAAAATAGCTCTAGCAACGCAAAATATTTATAAGTTTCTGTTCGGAAAGTCGAGTGTACAACTGAATGGCAAATTTCGGTGAATGTCCAGGAGATTTCATACTCTAATCTGGAGACTGGGAGATACGGTCCAAAATATGGAGTCTCCTGGATCATCCGGGAGAATTGACATGCACTGAAGTGATTGTAATTTCACCCAAATATTCAAAGGAAGGGAAAGCTTTTGAATCATCATACATATTCAGATTATGAAAGAATGACACATGATACTCTAACATGTCCCCTGAAGGTTTAAAAAAGTGGCTTAAAAGTAGTTGGATGGTGTAGCCTAATATATTATTTTTTAAAACAATTCTATTTTATTTTCATTTTCAAGCTCTAAAATTAAAGTTGTCACTTTATTTGAACAACAGGGAACACAAGAGTGATATCACAAAATGCACTGCAGTCATTTCAAGATGAAATGGGCAAAGTGCTGAATGATCCATACAAGGTACACAGTAGGTCATCATTCTTTTGTTTGATTCTCAACCTAGCTCTAGATGAACTATTAATTTCTAGAAATTATATTGAATTATAAAGTTTATTAAAGTTTATATCAGAGAAAAATAGTAAATGTATTCAAACTTATCAAATGGGAAAGCAGCATATAAACTGTTTTCGCTAGGAAGATCCTAGTACCGGTGACAAACCACACAAAAATGGTTTTGGATCATTCAGTGGGTAAGCTTCAAGATCTTTAATTCCTTCTTTACTGTTAACCACACTGACAAAAACTTCTGCATATACACCCAACGAAAAGTTGATCCGTCTAGCTTCTAGGATCTTCCTGGTGCTGGGATCTTCCTCCTCCATATAAACAGCCCCTAAGAATCTGAGTAGCTCTCCCTCATCCTTAAATTGAACATAATTATTAAAATTTTAAATATCTTAATATCTTACCTTATTATAGGAAATTAACGCTCTATGAAATTAAGGTATTGGAAATTAATGCGACTTAATAAATTAACACAAATTTAATGGAAAATGACTTTCAAACAAAGAAAATTAATGCAAAAGAGGAGGTAGAGTTTCATAATGAAGGAAATTAACACGATTAAGAGACAGTCGGTGGTGACAACTGGAACAAATTTATTTCAACACTGGATGCAAAAAAATTCAAAACTGTAAAAAAACTGAGCTGACGTCACTTCTGACAGTGACAACAATGAAGATGAACTCGAAATATTGTAAACCTTTGCCTTAGCTTTTGTAAAAGATGAAAAATAAAGGGTAAATGGAAAGAAAGAAAGCTTGTAGCTAATGTTTTTTAGGTGTCAAGAATGTCTGGACAGGTTCCAAAATTGGGGTTAAAATACTGGAAATTAAGAGTGCAGAAATTAACGCTGCACTTAATTAGCGTCGCGGAAATTAGTGCTCAACAAAATTAACGTGACTTAAATTAACGTGAATTTGAACGATTCACTTTAATTTCATGGAGCGTTAATTTCCTATAATAAGGTAATTCCTCCTTGAATTTTATAACCAAATTATACATATACATGTGTTTTATTTGGTAACAGGTTGTAATGAGGCAAAGTAAACTTCCATTGTCTCTTCTAAATGACCGGCCCCAGTCAGCAAGGGTTCACATATTGGATACAGAAGGGTTTGAAACAACATTTGGACCAAAAGCACAGCGTAAAAGACCAAACCTCAAGGCTGGTGACATGCAGGTGCGAAGTCAACACATTAAATTTACAAGTTACAATGTTGTTATTATGAGGAAGTAATTCCCTTGAAAAGTATGTAATGTACCCACATTACAGTACCACTCAAAATTACTAGTCTCTCTTTTCTCGCAAGACAAAAAAAGACAAGAGTCACATTAATATCACAAGACTGGTGTCTTCTCTTGAGCGAAGAGAGTCTTGTCTTGTGAGAATCACTGAAGCAGCAATTGTGGAATAAATTATGAGAGAAGCTCAATATCTCTATAAAGTGTGATTGGAAAAGCCATGCATCAAAGATTTAGTGTGATTTTCTGTTGTTAAGGAGTTAAAATCCAAAAAATCTCCTGAAGAGAGACTGCCCCCGAACCCCCCTAGAAGCCTGTGACTTTGGCCTTCGTTTTGGAAATCGGCCATTACTTATATTCTAGATCCGCGTCTGGTGCAGGTAACTTATGACTGGGGACAAAATATTGATAGCCCCATATAGGAAATTCAAAACGGTACTACAGTTAAAAAACTGAGGGCACCTTCTCTTGCTATTTTTCACCTTATGCCTGCCCTATTGGATGGCCGCATGTACATCAAGTCAAGTTTCATGTCACTTAACTGCATTCAATGGATTTAACCAATACTTGGAATATCATCCAATTCTTTTGTATGTGCTGACAGCTCGATGATTGATGAGCATTATTATTTTACTATTTCAGAAGAATCAAATACTTAGTTTAATAAGTTCTTGCTCAATGTGTGACCGACTTCTTTTTACTACTCCACCTGACTGATATGACCCTCTTTTCAGAGTTTTATGGAAGCAGCCCTGTTATCTTCAGGTACTGTATAAATTTTTTTTGTAACAAAAAACATTTTAGCATCAATTTATGATAAATATTATATGACTGAAATCTTTCAGTACCGTCATTGATAGTAAAAATGTTTAACAAAAATAATCATTGAATAAGGATGAGTGTGACGTCCATGTATTTACTGTTTGAAACATTTTTACACTTTAATCACACTAAAATGCACATGCATGTGCGTGGTTTTAAATCTTGCAGAATTATACGATGAAGAGAAAGATACGAACCTTGTGAGGGAGAATGATGGTGAAATGTGAGTAATTAATAAAGGCTGGAGGCTGCTTTGTAAAAAGAAGTCAAACATGACTAAAATAAGTATTTAAATATTGTTGTTTGACCAATACAAAAACAAAAAAACAAACTATTATACTTAAGATGCATCTGCTTGCGGTGGCAAAAAATGAGAACTACAATGCGCTTAAGAAACTAAATTGTAAAAAAAAAAACAGTCAGAAGAAAACACAAGGCCAATTAAGGAAAAGATTAAAAATACGTGTAGTTCATTTAATTTAAAAATTATTCGAAATAAAATTATGTAATTTCAATTAAAACAATTCGTTTTGATTTAAAAAAAAAATATTTTCAAGGGTAAATGCATTCTTATTAACAAAGTCACTAAAAAAGAAGAAAGTAAAATAGCATTCTTAACTAATATTTGCATGCATGTCCTTTTTCAATATTTAAGACAATGTCAAACAATTCTAAATTGACTCTCCTAGAAACTTGCAAACCCCTTAAGCAAAGTAATGCTGACCTCAGCAGCACAAATAATAATAATTATTATTATTATTACTACCATGATTTAATAAGTATGCCAGAGTGTTGTCTTTCATTCTGCAAGTCTTTTTTGCAAAGGCACAAAGTTTTCTTCATTGTAGAATAATAACTGATGTAAATTTTCCCTTCCTCCTCACCCTCAAGGGACACCAGTTTAATAATTCTGATTTAGCTTCGCTTGGCCCTAATATGCTACTCATGTTATAAGTAATAATAATTCCCAATGGTCAGCCCTTTTTTCAAGTTCATCCTTTATTTTCATCAAACTAAAACTTTGTTTAGTATAAGGGTATGATATTTGATGAGAGACCATTAAATTTGCTGTACTTGCAGGGTCGAAGCCACAGAATCAATTTATGCAAAGGGACAATCGAAGCGAATCTGGAATGAGTTGTATAAGGTGAAAATAATTTATTGTCAGTAATAATTATCATCTTTTTTTCACTCTTTACATTGTTGTAGTTTTCAGGAGTACCTTAAACATGTACATGAGAGACTCTATGACTTAAATTTACATTGTGTTATGCAGGTGTAATTATTCCTCATCTTTTCATCGATTTCAGGTCGTTGATTCCTCGGATGTTGTCATTCAGGTATTGAATTAGGATTCAAGCTACATGTAATGTGCACATACTAAAAATGATAGAGTATTTAGGGACGGGTCATTATTTATGTGGGGGGGGGGGGGGGGGGGGGGGGG